ATTTGCCATAATCATTATTTTTTGCACTCACTACCTAATTATAAAGCACACAATAATTACACATCATCCAAAACCTAATAAAAAAAGAAAGGAACATTAATTTTTTAAAAAAATTCAATAGTACTCATTTTGGAGGAAGAGAAGCATGACAATCAACACCCTTGATTTGTGCCCTGTTATGCAGAAGAAAAAATCAAATTTGCATGTGTTATGTTTCTGCCCTGTTATGCCATTTTATGGCTTTTTTTCTTTTTAATGATTCTTGAGCATGTGTTTGACACCAAACGCCCCCAACACAGATTTATAATTAAAAATCATATTTAACACCATCAATAGATACAATAGCTCTGGAAAAAGAAAAAAAAAAAAAACTCAAATAGCATTAACAATATACTTCATAACAAAAAATTAAAATCCCTTCACTGAACAATAACCAAAAACTCAAAATCAGTCATCAAAATAAAATAGAAAAAAAATGAATTATACCAGCAACAATGAATCTATGACAGATTGAAAGAAACTGACCATATTTGTAGTGATGCATCTAAAAGTAACAAATAATAGACATACCTTGACACATATAGCGGAGATATAGAGACACTGTATAAATATTTATACACATACCTTGACACATATATGCATCTAAAAGTAACAAAAAATAAAAGCTAATCGAGAAAATAGATATAGAGACATACCTTGACACATATAGCGGAGATATAAATGGAGAGAGAAGACAATTGAGATGGTTTTTTTCCTTACAATGGTTACTCTTTTTCTTAGGCAATAATTAAAATAAACACAACAGAAAACACAATAACCAAGCTAGTTATCAACAATACAAAAAATAATTATTATAAACTCAAGGACACATCAGCAGCTCTACAACAATCTCTAAAATCCCAAAGTTAGTTTCACAATAGATCTAAAACAATATATCTACACAATGCTGATAATAAATGTAAAAATAAATAAATTAGAAACGCACAGGGCAAACACATTATGTGGAACCACAACTCATAACCAAAACACAAAATTTCAATTAAATGGAACTCAATAAATTAGATCGTTACCTCTATAGCGTAGTGGGTTCTACAGTAGGTTGAGTCCAAAAGAGGAATAGTTGACCCTCATATCTAACTAAGGGGAGAAAGGGAGTGTTTTTCTGCCTGAAGATATGATCATACCCGTAAGGAGAGAACGCATATAACAATAATAATATATATATATAAAAAAAGAGCAGGTAGTTGCTAGAAATAATTCCAAAGAACTATTTACTTGTTTCCCTAACCTCTGATATATATCCAAAGCCTTAAGAGCATCATGTCGTTGCATTTCAAAGAACTGTCACATTGCATGTTATCAAATATCCATGATTTGCTGAAAACAAAACTACTCATTCAAAAATCCAAAGCCACATTCTACCTTGTCAACCAAATTTACGACACCATCACTGATAGCATTGTAGATTTTAATGCTTTCAGAAGCAACCTGTTGAAAAAAGTAAGGACAGTCAAGTCAAAAGAATTCTATTTGAAAAGTTACTTCAATAACACTCCGTTGGGATCGTGGGTGAGAAAGACAGGAAATGATTGTGTTTTCATACTATCATACTCAGATGGGTATGAAGGCAATGCATGTGAGATGGATATGAAAGACTTATTTTTCTTCCTTGGAATTTTAATGGGCAATCTCACTATTATAAATTTTTTATAACTAATCAGCTTGTTTCTCACCAATCTCACTCACCACTTTTGATGAGAAATGAAATAGGCAAAATAAGAGAGTTCTCACTCTCATCATTTCTTATCATTTCTCACCAAATCACCCCATCCAAACAGAGTGCAAATCCATGGACAAAGTAGGGGGAAAATTTATAAACTCCACTCACCATAGAGAGTGCTAATTGAATCACAAAATTATGAACCGTTGCTCCTGTGGCTGCCCAAAAGTTTCATTAAGAGGCCATATTTGAAAGCTAGACAGCATTATGTTTGATTCAGTTGAGTGAATCAAAAAAAAGTTACCTGGCAACCAAGAACACGAAATAGAAGCTGCTGTAATGCTGGCAACTGCTCAAGCAATTCCGAAGTGTCCAAACCTTTAGTTCTCTGCACCACAATTTACATAATAATATTCTAAGTGACCAAATCTTTATTTCAGTTAGATCAAAAAAATATTTGAAAACTAAAATCAATCAAAATTTGAGTGTTCACATAACACTTTTCTGGCTGCAACAGAAACAGAACCCCTCAAAAAAGATTGAAGTTCCAAATGCAATTTCAAAGGTGCCATATTTAAATGAAATTATAAAACCAAATTTATGTTGTCAAAGCAAAATTTTGAAAAATTCAAATGGCAAAAGGATGGCCAGCAAAAAGTACAATTTCTTACAGGGCGCTCACTCTCAACATCATATTTCAATACACTGAAGGAAGAAAATCTGACCTGTTGAAACTTGAAATTTAAGAAAATCTGAAATTGACTGTTATAATAGGTTGAAATCTGAAAATCTGAAAATGAAGAAAATCTGAAAATCTGAAATTGAAGAAAATCTGAAAATCCTCTGCACTGCTCCTCACACAATCCCCGCTCAACACCTTCGCCGGAGGCCCAAAAAACACCATTGTCGCAGCATTAAAAAGGCTGAAAAAAGCACACGAAACACCCATCTCCGCCGCAAGTCCCGACAGCCAGTGAGAAGCGTAATCAGAGATAATCCAATCTGGGTTCGGGCTAATTTCCGAGAGTGGTTGTTTAAGAAAATCGAAGGCGATTTTGAGGAGCTGAGCTTGGTGGTGTGGTGCGTCCATGGAGGATTCGGCGTTGGGTGGTAAGTTGAGGATGGCGGGGAAGGGGAGGGGGATGAAGGTGATGAGAGGGGAGAGCCGGAGAGGGATTTGGAGGAGGCGGCGGAGGTTTCCGTTGGTGGAGATTAAGGGGATGCGGTGGCCCTTGGTGGCTAAGGTGGTGGAGAGGTGGAGGAATGGGATGAGGTGACCCATGGCTAACCACGGGAACATGACTATGTGAAGAACTTCTTCTTCATCATTAATATCAACTCTGTTTTCCATTTGAGGATAGGGAAAATGGAGGACTTAAGAAGATGTTGGGTGATTAGTGTGAGATGGAATACTTACCAAGAATTATATATTGAGAACCCTTATGAGATTTGATGAGAAGTGAAAACCCAATAAGTATATTGAGCATTAGACAGAGAAATGGACCTGATTCGAGGAGATCTTCAGTGTAATCGTTGCCCCAATTCGTTCGATCGATGCTTTGTCTGTGGCTTTCCACTGTAGAGAGAGAGAGAGAGAGAGAGAGATGGGTTTGAAGAGAGAAACAGTGAAATGGGTTTGAAGAGAGAGATGGTGAAATGGCTGAAATGTGTTTGAAATGGGTTTCAAAATTGAAGGGTATATCCAACGGTGAAGAGAAACACTGAAATGGGTTTGAAGAGAGAGACGACGAAAAGGCTGAAATGTGTTTGAAATGGGTTTCAAAGTTGAAGTATATATCCAACGGTAAAGGTAGAAGGATACAACCTTTAACTTAATCTCAGCCTTTCAATCTCATTTCCACCTAAGATAGATGTCCCATCTGGTTTGAAAAACAGAGCTTTCTCAACCATTGATATATATTTGGGATTGATCTTAGCCATTGGATCAAAATATATCTCACATACATTTTGATATATTATTCAATTATTATTCAATTATTATTCAATTATTTATTATTCAATTATTATTTATTTTATTTAAATAATGTTTTGATTTTCAATTACATTTAATTTTTATCTTCAATTTTTTTTAAACAGATGCTTCAAGCAAAACTGTTATACCATCAAGATGAAAACAAACATTTCGCTTTTGAACATTGTTGGCCAATATTGCAAGACAATATCAGGTGGCAAGATGTAGCTCCCACGAATACGGTAAAGTCAAGGATGCATACAGTGTTTACCCCTAATTCAGCCCCTGATTCCCCTATGGAAAACTGCATTTCTCTTGAAGATGACACCAGTCCAAGTGTTGGTAACAATCCAACTGTCGGTGAAGGCAGTGTCTCTGCAAGGGGTAAAAGGCCGATGGGTAGGAAATCTGCAAAAGAATTATTTCGGAAAAATCAAGTCGCTCAAGCTGAAGTTCAAAAAATGAGCACACAACTGGACACATTTAACCAATACCTTGCTGAGAAGGAAAAGAAAAAAGATGAAAGAGAAGAAAAAAGGATTCAAGCACTGCAGGAGATGAAAGAACTTGAGATGAAAAAACATGACTTCGAGATCAGAAGACAAGAACATGAGATGAGAAAGGAAGAACACCAAATAATGACTACGGACATTTCTCATTTGGACCCTCAGATGAAAGCGTATTACACAATGCGAAAAAATGAGATTTTCGCCAAGTGGTCCTCAAATGTGAGCAGACCAAATTTTTATTTCCCCCTACCTCATGATGAATAATTACGGGATAAATGTTATTCTTTATTTTTTGCAATATCATTTATTTTTTGATGTAATTGTTAGTCTTTATTTGCAATGTAATTTTTATGTTGTAATGAAATTTCATGTTGTTTTAAGAAACATTTTTGAGTATTTTGTACTTCACAATGTAAAAAAAGACATTTTATGAAAAGACATTAAAAGACATTGTAAAATAAAAAGACATTAAATGAAGAACATTTTATTCGAATAAAAAGACATTAACTGACATTAAATGACATTAACTGTCATTAAAAAGATAAAATGCAAACTTAATCTAACTCTCCAGCTCGGGACCACAAGTGTTCAATTAGATCATTACGAATTACATTATGGGCTTCAACAGATCTAATCCTTTGCCGATTCAACATAAATTGAGCGTACTCCTCATTCGGATCACGTGATACTTGACAGCCCAAATTACTGGTATCAGTCTCAAGTTGTGCTGCACTGCGTTCATTTTCTGGAATATCACGCTCGTCTTCAATGATCATGTTGTGCAAAATAATGCACGTCTTCATGATGTAGTACAGATCCTCATCACTCCAACCTCTAGCTGGCACGCTGACAATATTAAATCGTGCTTGGAGCACTCCAAATGCCCTTTCGACAATCTTTCCGACATGCCTCCTGCATCCTCGCAAATAGTTGTCTCTTTGCGCCTTGAGGTTGAGATATTGTTTTCACAATCGTTGCCCAACGAGGTAGATACCATCAGCAAGATAATACCCATGGTGTATGCGTGATTATTGATGGTGTAGTTGGCAGCAGGGGCACGTCCTCTAGTTAATTCAGCAAATAAAGGCGACCTGTCAAGAACAGTAATATCATTTAGAGAACCAGGCATGCCAAAGAAAGCATGCCAAATCCACAAGTCATAGGAGTCAACCGCCTCGAGTACAACTGTTGGTTTGTGATAGTGTCCAGTGTAAGCACCGGCTTGGGCACTTGGACATTTATCCCAACGCCAATGCATACAATCCAAACTCCCTAACATTCCAGGAAACCCGCGTTGCTCTCCCTCTTGCAATAATCTGGCGACATCTGCTTCATTTGGAGATCTTAAGTAAAAGCTTCATAGTAGCAACAATTGATCTGGTAAAAAAATTTAAGGCGGCAATTGCAGTACTTTCGCCGATTCTAATGTACTCGTCTACAGCATCAGCAGGCACGCCGTATTGGAGGATCCGAAGTGCTGCAGTCATCTTCTGTATACCGGATAATCTAGGAGCACCAGTGGCATCACGGGTTTGGATGAAGTACTCATTCACTTGTTGAATATTGTGTAAGATACTAACAAACAATGACCGCCTCATTCGAAAACGTCTTCGGAAGTATTCTTCTGGATAGACAGATTATCTGCAAAATAATCTCTATAAATTTGTTCGTCGCCTTTGACCCTCTCACGATTAATGTATCGACGACCACTTGTGGAACCAACACGTCTGGTTTGTTGGTTTAGGCTTAACATCTGTAATCTTTGTTGTTGCGCTGTGAATAGTTGCATCATGATGATATCATCATCAGATGATGAAGATTCATCAAAATCTCCATTTAATATGGCTTTACTCAAATTGTTCTTGTAAATGGATGGTAGGTAGGTGAATATGAAAATTGTAGAAAATTCTCTTGGTGGATACAAAGAGTTTTGAGATATGAAAATGATGGGTAGGTGAATATGAAAATTGTAGAAAACCTTGTGTTATATTTATAGAGAAAATTGTAGGTGGGTGAATGATGAATGGTTGTTGGGTGGGTGGATGAATAATGGATGGTTGTTGGGTGAGTGGATGAATAATGGGTGGTTGTTGGGTGGGTGAATGAATAATGAATGGTTGTTGGGTGGGTAGATGAATGATGGATGGTTGTTGGGTGGGTGGATGAATAATGGGTGGTTGTTGGGTGGGTGAATGAATAATGAATGGTTGTTGGGTGGGTGGATGTGAGTGAATGAATGCTGGGTTAATAATTGATGGTTGGTTGGTGGTTGGTTGTTGGTGGGTAATTGGTTTTAAAATTAATTTTTATGTGTAGTTAAAAAAATTTATTAAATATGTAGTGATATGTTTTTTGGTGGGGTGAATTAATCAAATAAATTTTTTTTTTCAATTTTTATTTTTTTTTTAATTTTTTATATTTGTCTAGTTGGGAATAATATAAATATATAATTTTTTTAACAAAGTAGTCTATGTGCTTACCACTCTCAAAGTAGTCTATGTGCTGACTAGTTGCTTACCACTCTCAAAGTAGTGGGAATAAATATATTTGTCTAGTTGCTTACCACTCTCAAAGTAGTCTATGTGCTGACTACCTCCTATCCGGTGGAGCAAGAAGATGACACTATAGAGCAAACCCGTACCAAAACCAAATGGGAGAATGACGACTACATTTGCTGAGGACACATTCTGAATGCGCTGTCAAACTCTCTGTTCAATGTGTATCAACATCTAGAAACGGCAAAGCAACTCTAGGACATATTACAGTCAATGTACCTCATCGAAAATGCCACCAGTAAGAAATTTCTTGTTAGTAATTTTATGCGTTTTACTATGATTGATACAAAGCCCATTATGGAACAATTCCATGAGATCCAACATCTATTGTGAGTCAGTTTCAACAAAATAATATGAACATGGATGAATCTATTGTAGTTTCGTCTATAATCGAGAAACTGTCATCTTCTTAGAAGGATTTTAAGAAAACTTTGAAATACAAAAAAGAATATCTAACTTTAGAGGAATTAGCTCAACACCTCCAAGTTGAGGAAGAGTCAAGACTTCTTAAAAGTAAAGAAAACCAATTGGCTCAAACTTCCAAGATTCACATGGTGGATGATGGCAAGAGGTTCAGCAAAAAGAAGCGTAAACGTGACCCCCAACCTGAGAAAGATGCTAAGAAGCCGAAAGGTGCTTGTTAGCATTGTGGCAAGCCAGGGCACTTCAGAAATGAATGCCGACTATACAAAAAGATGCCAGAAGCATCAAATGCCAAAAACAAGTTCGTGGCTATTGTGTTCAAGGTGAGCATGCTCGAAGATGCTGGTGACCGATGGATTGACTCAGGAGAACAAGGCACGTCTACAACGACAAGAGTCGTTTCACTACTTATGAACAAGTGAGTAATGGAACAGTTTTCTACATGGGCAACTCTCCAACTGCTACTATCAAAGGCAAAGGGACGGTGGATCTAGAGTTTACATCTGGAAAAGTCTTAAGTCTTAATGATGTTTATCATGTACCTGATGTCAGGAAAAACCTTGTATCTGGAAGCCTGCTCATGGTTTCAAGTTAGTATTTGAGTCAGACAAATTTGTCCTGTCTATGGGTGGGATCTTTGTTGGGAAGAGCTATATGTATCAAGGAATGTTCAAACTTAATGTTATCAATAATACATCTATTTCTGCTTATGTTGTTGATTCTTTTTTTTTTATGGCATGCTCATTTAGGTCATGTTAATACTAGGAAAATGTATGATATGGTTAATTTAGATTTAATTCCGAAGTATGACATTGATATTTTGAAAAATGCAAATTTTGTCTGCAATCTAAAATTACTTGCATTCCATTTCCTAAAGTAGATAAAATCACATCTCTGCTTGAACTTGTGCATAGTGATGTATATGACATGCATAGTACCCCCACTAGAGGTGGTAAGAAATATTTTGTAACATTCATTGATGATTTTTTAAAGTACTGTCATATCTATCTTTTGCATTCAAAAGATGAGGTGCTTGATAAATTTAAGATTTTTAAGACAGAAGTAGAAAATCAGTGTAATGTCAAAATAAGAGACTTAGGCCTGATAGAGGCAGTAAATACCATTTTCCAGAATATTGTGAAAATGTTGGTATTATTCATGAGAAGTATGCACCCTACACACCACAACAAAATGGAGTAGCTGAAAGAAAGAATAGGACATTAACAGAAATGATTAATGCTATGCTTTCTTACTCCAGTTTAAGTTCTGGTTTTTAGGGTGAAGCCTTGCTCACTGCCTATCACATACTCAATAGAATTCCTCTCAAGGAAAGAAATGTTACTCCTTATGAACTTTAGAAAAACAAGAAACCTAATCTTAGTTATTTCAAAGCATGGGGTTGTAGAGCGATAGTCAGATTGCCTGAACCTAAAAGGAAGAAATTAGGTGAAAAGGAATTGAATGCATATTCATTGGCTATGATATACATAGCAAAGCAAATAGGTTTCTGGTAGTAGGGCCCAATGGTTCAGTGGAAACAAATATTATCATTGAATCACGTGATGCTGTATTTTATGAGAATCGTTTCACAACCATTCTAAGGTTGGATTCTAATCAAGAAAATGAATCAACTCCTTTGAGACATACAGAGGAAAGTGAACAACATGAACCCATTGAGCCTAATGAGCCTATTGAGCTAAGGAGGAGTAAGAAGGCTAGGAGTGAAAAGTCATTTGGCCCTGATTTCATTATTTACCTTGTAGAAGGAACTAGGAAAGCTTTTTGTAAACAAACAATGATTTCTTTGAATATGGATTCAGATCCATTAACCTTTGAGGAGACTATGAAGTCTCAAGATGTTGCTTTCTGGAAAGTAGAAACAAATGATGAGATGGATTCTACCATAGGTAACAGTACTTGGATACTTGTTGATTTGCCACCTGGATCCAAACCAATTGGTTGTAAATGGGTTTTCCAAAGGAAAATGAAAGTTAATGGCACAATTGACAAGCTCAAAGCAAGATTAGTTGCTAAGGGTTTTACTCAAAATGAGGGTATCGATTATTTTGATACATATGCTTCGGTGGCTAGAATCGCCACCATTTGAGTGTTAATTTCTTTAGCCTCAATCTACAAGCTTGAAATCCATCAAATGGATGTTAAGACTGCTTTCCTAAATGGAGAGTTAGATGAGGAAATCTACATGTAACAACCGGAAGGATTTGTTATACAAGGTCAAGAACACAAAGTGTGTAAACTCGTGAAGTCACTATATGGACTGAAACAAGCTTCTAAATAGTGGCATGAGAAATTTGACAAAGTAATAATGTCAAATGGTTTTGGGATACATGAATTTGATAAGTGTGTGTACAGTAAGTTTACTGGCAATAAAGGTATAATCATATGTCTATATGTAGATGACATGCTTATTTTTGGTACTGACAATGATGTCATTGAAAGTACTAAAAGTTTCTTATCGTCTAGCTTTAGTATAAAAGACATGGGCTTCGCAGATATAATTTTGGGTATTAAGATCAAACGAGAGGACAATAATTTGATTCTTACCCAGTCGCACTATATTGAGAAAATTCTTAAGAAATTTAATCAATATAATTGTACACCCATGTCTACACCTTTTGATTCAAATTTGAAATTGTATCTTAATATTGGAAGAGCTGTTGATCAGTTAGAATACTTAAGAGTAATGGGTAGCCTGATGTATGCCATGACTTGTACTAGACCTAATATTGCATTTGTAGTGAGAAAACTTAGTAGATACACTAGTAACTCTAATAGTGTGCATTGGCATGTTATTAACCAAGTACTTAGGTACTTGAGGAAAACCATAGACTATGGAATAGTCTATAATGGCTATCCAATAGTGTTGGAAGGATTCACAGATGCTAGTTGGATAACTGACTGTGAAGATCACTCGTCCACGAGTAGTTGGATTTTTACTCTTGGAGGAGGAGTTATCTCTTAGGGTTCTAAGAAGCAAACATGCATAGCAAACGCAACCATAGCGTCTGAGTTTGTAGCATTAGCTTTTTATAACAGAGAGGCGGAGTGGCTAAGGAATCTCTTGTTAGAGATTAAGATATGGCCAAAACCTATGCCACTAATATCTTTGCAATGTGATAGTGAAGCAACTCTATCAAGGGCCTATAGCCATGTTTATAATGGAAAGTCCAAGCATATAGGACTGTGACATAGCTGTGTCAGGCAGTTAATCACAGAAGGTGTGATTATCATTAGTTATGTAAAGTCAAGTGAAAACTTGGCTGAACCCTTAATAAAGATACTTGCAAGGGATTTGGTGTAGAAAATATCAAAGAGAATGGGTCTTAAGCCCACTTAACATAATCACTTTGGTGAAAACTCGACTCAACGCTTGAAGAAACATCAAGTCTTGAGTTCACTGAGCCCAAGTACACCATATGTCATGATTACAAGTATTTAGTTTTATTTCATTTTCATCCCAAGGTTGAAGTGCTTGGTACCTGTAATGTGAAAAGAAAATGATGAGTTAGCAAACTCTTAATAAGCCTACAACTGAGTTGTTAGGGTAATGTAAATTACAGGGGTACTCTCAGTAAGCTTACCTATGTGAGTGTAGGAGG